TCCACCTGTCCTAAGGGGAGTGAATTTTAAATTCCTTCAGAGTGCGATACCAAATTACCAAGAAGTCTATATATAAATCACTCATTGTGCAGATCTGACAAACATCCCCACATTTGGAACGGAAACTACCGTATTTTCTCTAATATATGTAGTTCCTCTATCGTTAGCCCCACCCAGTGACCATTATGTGTTTGGGTTTTTTTTTTTATTCCATAAATACCTCCATCAGGAAAAAAATGCATTACGGCCACTAAGTGCTGCTAATGATATAGGAACTACATATATTAGAGACATTTTTATAATTGCAAAGTATACAGGGCGGAGCCTTGCGTGCTGACGTGTTTAACCCTTTACTAAGTTGATGTCAGGATGCCAAGACTAAAAAACAGCATCAGAAATGCATCAGAAAAGAACTGTAACCCTATGAGCAATTTGTCAGTTGGACGGCAGGGTCTGACCACTAGGAATGTGCACAGGGGCGCGCTGCTAGTGCCTTGCTGTAAACTGGCTTCTTAGGGTATGGTGCAGTATGCTGGCAAAGCATGATGGGACTTGCAATTTAATGGCAGCAGGTCCATAGACTTCTGTCTGGAGCAGGGGCAGACGGACCATTTGGAAACTTGGGTTAGTAGGGGGCCCCATGAGATGCCCCTGGTACCTTTTTCATAGGTTTTTTTGAGTTTGGGCCAGGACACAGGCCCCATGATCCCCTATTGCCCGGGGGCCCCATGAGTTGTCAGTCCGCCCCTGGTCTGGAGACTCCCCCTTTGCCCAGTGGTGTAGGACCCTGCGTACCGGAAGTGCCGTCAGGACAGGGGTGGGGATGTATCATTTGTATTATTCAGTCTGATATATACTAGTCCATCGATATTGTTGTAGATTAATAGATGACTTAAAGTGTTACTGAACCCCCAACAGTACAATCAGTCTGTAGATGCAGTAAAGCATGCTTGTTATACTCACTGTGGAACCTAAGGGGTTAATCCTCCGCATTGTGTAAAAAGGCTGTTTGATCCTGTCTTCTCTGATCCTCCCCTTCTTCCAGTGCCCCCCTCTTATCTCCTAATAAGACATATCGTCTGGAGTCACTCTGCACATGCTCAGTTAGGTGCGCATTGCTAGAGAGGTTTTGTTTTTCTTGAGAGAGTGCATGTGATCAGCACAGAGCCAATCAGCAATGTGCAGACAGAGGTCAGGGGTTCTGCAGACCCCTAGACCAAAATGAAAACTCTTCCTGCAAGCTGTAACCAGTGCTCTGCTGGACACTGATAGAAGTCACAAGACTGCTATAGACTGCTGATGAGAAAAGGGATTTAGCAGTGTATATTTACTAAAATAATTGCATTTCCATGTTGTGTGTACTGTGGGAGACCAGATATAGTGAATGCAGGGTCCGGGGAGAGCGGATATAGTGAATGCAGGGTCCGGGGAGAGCGGAAATAGTGAATGCAGGGTCCGAGGAGACCAGATATAGTGAATGCAGGGTCCAAGGAGACCAGATATAGTGAATGCAGGGTCCGGGGAGACCAGATATAGTGAATGCAGGGTCCGGGGAGAACAGATATAGTGAATGCAGGGTCCAAGGAGACCAGATATAGTGAATGCAGGGTCCGGGGAGACCAGATATAGTGAATGCAGGGTCCGGGGAGAGTGGATATAGTGAATGCAGGGTCCAGGGAGAGTGGATATGGTGAATGCAGGGTCCGGGGAGACCAGATATAGTGAATGCAGGGTCCGGGGAGACCGGATATAGTGAATGCAGGGTCCGGGGAGAGCGGATATAGTGAATGCAGGGTCCGGGGAGAGCGGATATAGTGAATGCGGGGTCCGGGGAGAGCGGATATAGTGAATGCAGGGTCCGGGGAGACCAGATATAGTGAATGCAGGGTCCGGGGAGAGCGGATATAGTGAATGCAGGGTACGGGGTGACCGGATATAGTGAATGCAGGGTCTGGGGAGAGCGGATATAGTGAATGCAGGGTCCGGGAGAGCGGATATAGTGAATGCAGGGTCCAGGGAGACCACATATAGTGAATGCAGGGTCCGGGGAGAGCAGATATAGTGAATGCAGGGTCCGGGGAGAGCAGATATAGTGAATGCAGGGTCCGGGAGACCGGATATAGTGAATGCAGGGTCCGGGGAGTCCGGATATAGTGAATGCAGGGTCCGGGGAGTCCGGATATAGTGAATGCAGGGTCCGGGGAGACTGAAAATAGTGAATGCAGGTTCCAGGGAGAGCGGATATAGTGAATGCAGGGTCCTGGGAGAGCGGATATAGTGAATGCGGGGTACAGGGAGACCGGATATAGTGAATGCGGGGTACAGGGAGACCGGATATAGTGAATGCAGGGTCCAGAGAGACCGGATATAGTGAATGCAGGGTCCGGGGAGAACAGATATAGGGAATGCAGGGTCCGGGGAGACCGGATATAGTGAATGCAGGGTCCGGGGAGAACAGATATAGGGAATGCAGGGTCCGGGGAGACCGGATATAGTGAATGCAGGGTCCGGGGAGACCGGATATAGTGAATGCAGGGTCTGGGGAGAGCGCTGTCCTATTATCTTATGTTTCCACCTTTCCCCTGCCTTTGCTCCGCCCCTTTACCCTGTTTAAGTTGGCTCAATGATCTTGGGTCTTGGTCTTGAAGAAGGAGCCGTTCGATCACGCTCCGAAACGTGTCGCTGCCCCTTTCCTGACGTCACTTCGTGTACATGCGTTCCATAGTGGTACTGGGAGAGCGGTGGCCATCTTGACCTACATGCCAACCTCAGCCTGTAGTTGCTGATCAGCAAGCGAGAGATGAGACAGTGACAGGTCCATAATGGGAAAGACTTAGATGAGCCTGTTATGCCGCACATTCAAGTAAGCGTTTTTAACCGTACATCCTAAAAATTGCTGGAATTGCTGCACTTAGAGGCGCCTTTTTGCCTTTCTCCTTTCCAAAGTGGAGGCTTGGGGTGTGGGAGCAGGCTAGTCAAAGTTTGCATTGGAGCCCCCTAGAATATAACTCCACTTCTCCGGCCCCTCCCTCCACAGATGAGTGATAGGCATTATGGCAGGCAGATGGGGGTCCAACTTCTGTTCTCCGGAGGACAATGTACATGTAGTACCTCGTCCCATCTTCCTAGGTGCTGTCTAATGCAGGCCATAGATGGGTCGAAAATCGGCCGATTTTTTTTCGGCCGAAAATAAAAATCGGCTGATTTTCGGATCGTTAGTGGGCTAATAGGTCGGCTGTTTTTCGGTATTTTGGCAGATCTTTTTAATCTCTAAAGTTGGAAAAAGATTTTCGCGGCAATGATGGGCAAATCTGCTGATCTTTTTACCGATAAAAAAATCTGCGCATGAGCAGTGACCTGCAAGAGGAAGACAAAAAGAAAAAAAAGAAAAAGAAGAAGAGGATGAAGAAGAGGAAGAGGATGAAGAAGAGGATGAAGAAGAGGATGAAGAAGAGGATGAAGAAGAAGAGGATGAAGAAGAAGAAGAGGATGAAGAAGAAGAGGATGAAGAAGAAGAGGATGAAGAAGAAGAGGATGAAGAAGAGGATGAAGAAGAGGAAGAAGAGGATGAAGAAGATGAAGAAGAGGATGAAGAAGAAGAAGAGGATGAAGAAGAAGAAGAGGAAGAAGAAGAATTCCAGTCCGGCAAAAAGTGTCCGCTATTTCTTTGACAGTTCCTTGACATTTATAGCGGTTGCAACATTGTATCTATTTGTTTCCGAATAAAAAACATCTGTATCCAAAATGGATACAAATAGATACAATGTTGCAACCGCTATAAATGTCAAGGAACTGTCAAAGAAATAGCGGAGCTCTCTGCAGGATACTTTTTGCCGGCTGTAGACGGGATGAAAATCGGCCGATTTGTTTTACTGTTCCTGGTAACGTCGGCCGCTCAAACTACCGATTTTTCATTTTTTTAAAGAAAAATCAGCCGGTTTTCTCCACATCTATGGCCCGCATAAGGCCCGCATAAGGCTTGCTGTGAGGTTGGACAGGACGCCCCTCCTCCCTCCATGGCCATCCAACAACGCAGCTGGTATGGAGATGGCTGCTTTGATAGATGGCACTTTTCTCCATCTCCAAGCACTTACCCGAGACAAGTGTGCCGCATGTCTGATTGGGGAGAGGAAGGTATCGGCTAAAATGTCCAGGCAAGCGGAAAAGTGCTTGTATAGTGTAAAAAACACTCCTTCTCACTCAGATATCTAAATCCCAATGACTCAGTATAACGCCTTCTACCCCAGAAACACAAGTACAAACAGTGATAAATATAATAAAAAAAAAAAAATACATAAAAATAAAAAAAAAACAAAAACAAAATTAAATTATATGTGCAAAAACACAAATTGTGATCTGAAAATGAATCTTGTAAATAAATCCACTGGATGTTTTTTAGTGACTTTTTGGATTTATTTAGAAGATTCATTTTCAGATCACAATTTTGGGTTTTTGCACACTTAATTTTATTTTTATTTTTATTTTATTTTTATTTCTATGTGGCTTATTATCACTGTTTGGAAAAGTGCTTGTAGCCAGAAAAAAATAAGTGCCATTTGTCAAAGAAGCCATCTCCTTGCTAGCCGCGTTGTCAGATGGCGGCGGAGGGAGGAGGGACGACCTCACAGCTAGACAGCACCTAGGAAGATGGGACGAAATCAGGGGCGGGCTGACAACTCATGGGGCCCCCGGGCAAAAGGGGATCATGGGGCCCCCGTGTCCTCGCCCACACCCAAAAATGCCTATGAAAAAACCAATGAAAAGGTACCAGGGGCATCTCATGGGGCCCCCTACTGACTGGCAGTGCCCGAGTGCTCTAATGGTCAGTCTGCCCCTGGACGAAATGTTGCATATACTTTGTCCCCCCCGGAGAACAGAACGCATTGATAAAAATCAAAGGTAGGCCTCTTGCTAAAAATGAAAACTTTATTAAAACAGTGAAACTAAAACTTCACATAGACTTCAAAACACCATAAAGCATTTATTAGACAAAAAAAAAAGAAGAATATTACCTCGATTTTTCCTAACGGCTTCTTCTTCTTCTTCTTCGATGCGTCTCCGCTGTACGACGGGGGGAAGTCTCTGTCTGAATGAAACTAGAACTTTCTGTCATGGTCTTTCTGCACCAAAAAAATACAAAAAATCACCTATAAATGATGTTACGACATAACATACACATTTGTCAGCATGTGTACAGTGCAACTGGGCGGTTTGAGAATATTTGGGTAAAATGCTAAATCTCGGAGTGTATAAAATAGAAGCAAACACAAAAAAAAAAATACAGTTTTAGATGCAGCTAGACTAAGTACCTGGATTTGTCTTCATATTATCTTCCAGTAATGCCCCGGGCACTCAGCACTTAGGAAAAGGTTTTGAACCTCCATGAAGGTTTTTGGGTTTTTTTTTCAGATAAGATTTCCCCGTATATCCTGACCAAGTGAGAGCGTTGTCACACCGTGGCAGGAAGTGAAGGGAAGTCATCAATGGGCACACAAGTAACTTTCATCTGCTATCATAGAGAAAGCAACATTTTGGAAATCCCTGAGTAAGTTAGTTTGAATTTTAGCCTTTTTCTGCTGTTTTTGGGCAAGGTTCAAGGTCTGGGTGGCCCTGTCGGCACACCCTATCGGATGCATCACCTGTTTGGGTGTTCAGGCAGCCCCGGGTGTCCTGGCTGTCTGAATACATTAGCCAACAAGAGAGATTCTTCTTTCCATGCTGTTTAGCATGCATGGAGGAATCTACTGATTTTCGAAAATCAATGAATCTAAACGTCAATGGCTAGCTTTACGATGGAACACTCAAAAACCCGTATTTGCCTTGTGAACAATAGCATGCGAAAGCAGAAAGAAATAGCTAACGAAGGTCCTAGCTGCCTCCCACCCAGGGGCGGACCAGGGGCGGACTGACAACTCATGGGGCCCCCGGGCAATAGGGGATCATGGGGCCCCTGTGTCCTTGCCCAAACTCAAAAAAAAACCTATGAAAAATGTACCAGGGGCATCTCATGGGGCCCCCTACTGACTCTGGGCCCTCGGGCATTGCCCGAGTTTCCAAATGGTCAGTTCGCCCCTGAGGCGGACTGACCATTCGGGAACTCGGGCACTGCCCGAGGGCCCAGGGTCAGTAGGAGGCCCCATGAGATGCCCCTGGTACCTTTCATAGGCTTTTTTTGGGTGTGGTTTAAGTGTGTGCAAGGACACAGGGGCCCCATGATCCCCTATTGCCCGGGGGCCCCATGAGTTGTTAGTCCGCCCCTGCTCCCACCCTACTAGGAAAATATTTTTAATAGCCACTGGCATTGATTTACAAAGGCAGATAGACTGAGCACTTTGCAGAGTGCAGATGCTCCAGAGCTTAGGAAATGAACAGAAGCTCTGCGGACTTCCATCGTCCAATCATGTGCAAGCAAAAATTCTGTTTTTTTTTATTTTCCTTGCACCTGATTGGGTATTCTTGGCAAAGTGAAGCTTTACCTCATTTACTAAGCTCTGGAGCAACTGCGCTTTGCAAAGTGCACAGTCTGTTTGCCTTTAGTAAATCAACCCCACTGTGTCCTCCCACATGGAAGAAAAATGTATTTTAAATATATTCTTCCCAAACTGGATCATCTCGTGGCGAAAAAAGAACAATCACAAGGACAGGAAGGGAGACTGAATCTCTCTAAACAAGCCCACATGGAAGAAAAATATATGCAAAATATATTTTACAAATATTCTTCCCAAGTATATTGACATATATTTGAAATACTACAATTTTGGCCATATTCAATATATATCAAAATATATTTCAATAAATATATATATATATATATATATATATATATATATATTTGTATGTTGAAATGCGTTTTTATTACAAAATATATGAAAAATATTTTTAAAAATCCATTTATTCTACATTTTTGGAGTGCATTTACAAATATATGTACAAATATATGTTAAAGTGACTTTTATGTATGTTAAAAAAAATCTGAAGAATATATTTGAAAAATATATATTTTTAAAAATATTTTTCATATATTTTGTAATATATAAAAACACATTTCAACATGCAGTATATATATATATATATATATATATATATATATATATATATATATATATATATATATATATATGTGTGTGTGTATTGAAATATATTTTGAAATATATTGAATACGGCCAAAATTGTAGTATTTTAAATATATGTCAATATATTTGGGAAGAATATTTTAAAAATATATTTTGAATATGTGTTCCTCCAATTGGGCTTGTTTAGAGAGATTCAATCTCCCTTCCTGTCCTTGTGACAACACTGCTACTGTTCTTTTATTCGTCACGAGATGATCCAGTTTGAATGACACCGAGGGGTCAAATTATTTTTAAAAATTCATGTTACAAACATTCACACAGCTGCAGCAAAAAATATGCCGTATTTTTTCTAATAAGATTAATCACCATCGCCATCTATTGGCCATAATGCAGTATTTTTCCTGACTAAGGTATTTCAGGGAAAATACAGCATTATGGCCACTAGGTGGCGCTGCTAGTCATAGGAAATTTCCAAAATAAGCAAAACATGTTTTTTTTTTTTGCTGTTGCGAATGTTTGCCACATTTGTACTGTGATTTTTTTTTATTATTATTTAAACAGACCCTGTAGTCTCATGTAACCTGGAAGACTGAGAGAAAACTGAGTGCAGGGCATCATGGCCCTTCCTCTTGAGCGTGGTGGCTCCAAGGCGCCCTGCACTCCATATGTATTGGTGCATTCCTATGGAATCAATGTGACTGCCCTAAAGACTTTAGAAAAGGTAAGAAATCAAATAAAAAAATACTGCTGAGGGGACCTTTATGGGGAAGGGGGGTGCATTGGGGTCGGGAGAGGTGAGCCCCAACTTGGGCAATATTTGGTGTGTTTTATACATCTGCTTGGAGTTTAGTTTTGACTTTATTTTGTATAATAATTGTGACATACATTATTATCCACCCCATGAGAGATGGATTGAAGAAACTCTTTTTCAAATTTTTTTTTTTTACGTCTCTTTTTTTGTGTTTTACTTTTTATATTTTCTGCACCCCGATCTCAGTTTAGAAAGAGATAACTGTACAACTCCACATTGGGGTCTCTTTGATAGAAACTATTTCTATCTCTCCCAGATCCTTATCTAATCTTCCCATTCAGTGTCCATCTCTCATCTCTCCTCTTCCAATTTCCATTAGCGTCGCCCTCTAACTAAGCATTTTCATTGACTTTACATTCCAACGCATTTCGGCATACCGTCCCCTGCTTCCTCAGGGGTATTAAAAGTGTTTGTTTTATATTACGAAATGACAGCATTCCATGCTCCAAAACCAGCAAGTAGTAATGAAAATGGCCATTATCATTACTGTTTTGCCCCATGAAAAGCAAAGAAGCCCTGTAGCGGAGTGCCCGTTCGTGCCCAGATGTAGCGGCAGGTGCTTTTAAATCCTTTCCTACAGCGTTCCGGGTTCCTGGACGTGCCCCTATCCTCATCGGTTCCTCTACTTCCCTTCCTATGCATTTTAGAGAGGCCACATCTCACCAGGCAGAAGTAGCTGAGCAAGGAATCTGCAGCCAGTTGGGAGGCTCTCCATTGTCAGAACCGGCTTGCAAGCAGGAGCCTAATAACATGCAGCTTCTATGGATGACCCAGCTACTATTCCCTGATTGGTTCCAGTGGTTTGGCCCCCAGGGCTCGGGGTCCCTCCAGCTGTTTGCCTGTGTTACCAGAACTACCCTACATTTTGTTTGTGTTCTGTTTTACTAGAATACTGATTCTCAGCAGGTCTATATGTTGTTGTACAGACCCCTGGGGGTTTATTTACTAAAGCTGGAGAGTCCAAAATCAGACTCCCTTCTGCATAGAAACCAATCAGCTTCTAACCTCAGCTTGTTCAATGAAGCTTTGGCAATGGAACCTGGAAGCTGATTGGTTTCTATGCAGAAGGGAGTCTGATTTTGGACTCTCCAGCTTTAGTAAATAAACCCCATAGAGACTATGCTATGTCGCCTTGATCGAGTCGCAGAGACATTGCTGTGTAGAGTCCATGTTTGTGCAGCTTTCTTTCTCCTGCAGCGCAGGCACGCCCTTTGCCATTCTGTCCCTGTTTCGCATTACTGAATCTGTATAGTAAACTGCAAGTTACAGCTACTTCCCAATCTGATCATTCAGACAATTTACCATCCTAGTACATCCCCTATAATGACTTGCAATGGTATATCTTTCTAAATCCTAAATTGGCAGTGTGTGGGATTAACAAAATAAAACCCGTCTTTATGGCATTTGTTCTGCCAAACCAGGCTAAGGGAAGAAAAAGGGGGGAGATAACTGACCAAAAAAAAAATTGTGATATCTGTCCACTTAAGATTGTCATCGTTGATGGTTTCTATTTACATGAAAAGGAAGATATTAAAGGGTGTATTTATAAATATAAAAAATGTAAAAATTAAAAAAAAGAAAAAAAAAAAAAACCTCTGCATTGTTCATGTGCATTTGTTCTGTGCAAAAGGAGCAAAAAAACTAACATTATTAGGCCGTTTCCTATTCTGGTTCAGTGTTCTACATTATTATTATTATTATTATTATTATTATTATTATTATAATTACGGTACTTTATATTCTTTTTTTTCTTTCTTTCAGGTACTTATATAGCGCCCTCAATTTTACGCAGCACTTTACATATATATTTGTACATTCACATCAGTCCCTAACCCTCAAGGGGCGTACAATCTAAAGTCCCTAACCCTCAATGGTGTACAAATCTAAGGTCCCTAACTCACAGTCATACATACACATACTAGGGACAATTTAGACAGGAGCCAATACACCTTGTCCTTGAATTAATTTAAAACTGATTTAAAACTGAAAATCCTGTGTTTGGTCACTTGATGAGACTATTTTTTGTGCTGGTGAAATGTTTTTCCGTGATATTTAATGGAAAATACAGCATTTGGTTAACTAGATGGTGCTAAGTAACAAAGGAACTCCCTGTACTGTTCAAATATTTTTTGTTGATTTACAAAAAAAAATAAAAATACTGTATTTGGCCACTAGACGGTGCTATTATAGGGTTTTCCTGTGCAGGTTAAACCATAATAAATGGAAAATACTGCAACTGACCACTAGATGGTGCCAAGTGTTAGGATTTCCTAATATACTTGGCGCCATCTAGCGGCCAAATGCTGGTATTTTCCATTTTCAATAAACGAAAAACATTTGAGCAGCACGGGAAATAGCCTAATCGCATTCATTTTTTGCCCCATTTGTACAGAACAAACGCACAACGCACTTTCGCTGGGCGAATTGCTATGCGCCTTCCTAACTGACTCTTCAATAATGATATCCAACAATTCTGATTTAGTTAACTTGCCAAATAATGTAAACTCCCATAAGACAGAAGGAAGGCTAAGTCTCTTTCTAAACCGAGATAGGGGTGCAGAAAATATACGAATTAAAACACATAAATGAGACATAAAGAATGTAATAAAGATTTTATTAAAAGTTTAATAAAGGATGTGTTCCATGGGGGTGGGGACGGGGGAGGGGGTGGGGGTGGACATGCAAAGTAATAATGTATGTCACATTCATTAGGCAAAAAAAATAATAATAATTGTAACCCTATATACAGAGTGAAGGATTTTGTTAAATTAAAATCTCCTGAGATACAAAGGGACAGCTTCAACTTTTCGATATATACATTGTCTGTAGGGGGCAGTCCAGAGTATCCCAAGTCTACCATGAACATGATGTGTTTAGAGTGGTGATAATACTCAGTTGTTCGTAGAATCAGATGACTTGGCCCCGATGTCTGGCACCGGTTAGGTCGGGGGGGAGGGGTTTTTTTTTGGCTCCCGTTCATTTTAGATTTCATCATTCCATCCAAAAGCCCCGAAAACTTTCCTTACTTTTCTCTGGTCTTAATCATGTAGCCACCGACCGCCACAAGGATGACGAAAACCACCACGGCTCCCACGGGACCGATCTTCGCCCAGAGCAAGCTGTCTGCAAGAGGGGAGACAAGCCACAAAGCAGATGTATGAGAGGTCGGCGGGGTGTGGAGCTCAAAAAAGGTTGGCTGTGAAATGTGTGGTGGAGAAGCTCAGCCAATCAGATTTCAGCTTACAGATGCCAATTTGGGTACTTATATTGCGCCGTCAATTTACGCAGCGCTTTACATATATATTGTACATTCACATCAGTCTCTAACCCTCAAGGGGTGTACAATCTAAGGTCCCTAACTCACATTCATACATACACATACTAGGGACAATTAATAGGAAGTATGAATTATTATTGTTTGTTATGGGTTACAGTATAGTCTCTATTTGGATCGACTTCATAAATGTATGTGTAGGGCCAGGGCTGCTGTTTAGAAACCATGGGGTCCCATACAGCCAACCTGAGAGGGCCCCCCCACCAAAAAAAAAAAAAACAAGAGGGCTGTCTTGACTCTTGACTTACAAGACCGAAACCCCACCAACCATCAGCAGGGCTGCTGTTAGAAACCACGGGGGGCCCCCTACAGCCAATCTGAGAGGGCCCCCCCCCAAAAAAAAAACACAGTGTACTATACTTCAGTTATGAATGAACACAGTGATCAGTACTGATCACTCATTATGTTCACTCAGGAAAGGAGGGGCCTGGTAAATGTGGCATATATACAAGACCCTTCCTCCACTCATCCTGAAAGATCCTATAGAGTGCTTGTAGCTGCTGGTGGGTAAGCTGGCAGCACTGCAGGGGAGGGGGCTCACGGGGGGAGCCTGAGCAGCAGGGGGAAACATATGGTGCACAGGGAGGGGGATCGGCATTGCGGGGGGGGGGGGGGGGGCAATTACTGGAACCAATCCCCTGTATGTCTCTCTCTGCAGCCAGCAGTAGGGAGAGACTAAGCCAGCTTTCAGCTGCTGCAGAGAAGGCCAATACAGGGGATCGGTTCCAGTAATTTATTTATTTATTTCAGGTACTTATATAGCGCCATCAATTTATGCAGCACTTTACATATATATATTGTACATTCACATCAGTCCGTAACCCTCAAGGGGCGTACAATCTAAGGTCCCTAACTTACATTCATACATACACATACTAGGGACAATTTAGACAGGAGCTGATTAACCTACCAGTATGTCTTTGGAGTTGGGAGGAAACGGGGTACCCGGAAGAAACCCATGCAGGCACAGGGAGAACATGCAAACTCCAGGCAGGTGGTGATGCTGTGGTTGGGATTTGAGCCGATGACCCTAGTAGTGCCAGGTGGAAGTGCTAACCATTTAGCCACTGTAATTGCGCCCCCTGTTGTGCTGAACTACCTCCCTGCCTACATCTGATTCACCCAGCTACCTGGATCCCCCCCTGCTGGCCTGGGCCCCATACAGGAGGACTGGTGGTACCCCCTTATCCACGGCCCTGTGTAGGGCAATCACCAGGCAGCAGTGGGAATTAAGCAATTATTCACATTTTTGCTTAATTTTGGATGGGTGGAAGCCTAAATCAATCTCTTTTTCTGCCTGGGCAGATTTCCCCTCACTGTGGGGTCTGCTGGCCGAATTGCAGAAGCATTTGTATAGCCTGGACGAAAGGTCCCCGTAATTTTTGTAATAATTTAATTCTGTATCCCCGTATCCATCTAGTGACCAAAATGCATTTTTTGTAATAGTTTAGAAAACCATACTGCATTTTGGCCATTAGATGGCGCTGATGATATCTTCATGTGTTGTTAGCACCATCTAGTGGACAAAATGCAGTATGGTTTTCTGAAATATTCCAATTAGAGAATTATTATTTATATTATTATTATTATTATTATTATTATTATTATTATTATTAATAATAATAATAATAATAATAAAAAACTAATAATGATAATATTATTATTACCATTTTTATTATTATTATTATTATTATTATTATTAACAATAATAATAATATTATTATACAGGATTTATGTAGCGCCAGCAGTTTGCGCAGCGCTTTACAACATGAGGGCAGACAGTACAGTTACAATACAATTTCCTACAGCAGGAATCAGAGGGCTCTGCTCTTTAGAGCTTACAATCTAAAAGGGAGGGATATATTACAATAATAATGAAGACATTTCGTCCAGCATGAACAAAAGCCTCAGACATTTGTACAAGGAATGCTTTAGAAAAAGACCCCTTTGCGTGTCCTGGCTGAAATCTCTACAACACAGATACAAACCAATCAATAAGGAAGGATGCCGGCACCACCACGCCCCCCTGACACCTTTCACCCCGCCCACCAGGGCTTAATCAGACGACCCCATGACTAAGCCCCTGGTATATTGTTTTTGTGCCCTAAAATAAACTTTGATTCATTTTTTCACTGAAAATTTGCACTTGTTAAACCTTTGTGCAAATATTGTGTGAAATAAAAAAAAAATTGGTACTACCAGTATTTTATTCTCCAGAGTGTCTGCTTCCTGAAAAGGTTAGGTGGGGTTTTATTCATCTTCAGACCTAAAATGATTTTTTTAATCATGTGTACAAATCAAAATGCAAAAAAAAGGCTCCAGCAGCAAAAGGGTTAAATGTCGCAGTACCCTGCCTTGGGCGTAATATTGAAGAAACACATTCCTGAGATCCCTTTAGACATGCATGCTTCTCCCGGCTAGCCGCTAGATGCTGCAGGCTGTAGCTGTGCAATATGCTGATCAGTTGCTGAAGCATGCACATCTAAAGGGATGTGTTCTTTCATGTAATGCCCAAGAATATAACGGATGATGGCAGGGCAAGTTAATAGCTATGAGAGGCGGGCAACAACAGTATGGTTTAATGGAGAGGGGATTGATGATGATCCCTCCTCTAGTCCGAGGAATGAAAAATCGGAGGCTGTCCTTATTGACCAGCAGTGTTGTCACTCACCAGAGTCCTGGAACCCGAGCTCGTGGATCTTCTTGCCGTACAGATTGCTTGCAGAACACAGGACGACTTTCGGAAGCTCCGTCTCCTTCTGCAGCGTCAGGATGCTGCTCACCATGTAGCCGTTCCTCTGGGAATGAACGAACTCCGCGTTCAGCTCGCTCACTGTAAAGTTCTTTTCAGGGATCTCGAACATGATGTACGGGTCGGGGTTGGACTTGACTGTGCACATGCACTGAACATTGTCCTTCGTCACCGTGCACTTCGATTCGGATAAAACAATCGGCGAAACTGCGAAAGCAAAAACAGTTCATTTCAACCAAAATGAAAACGAATCCTCTCCGGATCAGTTACATACATTGTAAACATTTGTTACCTGCTCTTGGTCTGTAGATAATGAGGAAAGGGATGCCGATGCTTCTGCTAAAAGTGAGCGCTAAGTGGGAGGGTCTGCTGCTATCGTCATGTGACCAGTCTCGGTGTTGTAATATGGAACACTCTCACCAGAATCTCCTTTTGACACCCAGCCCTCTTCTACAGCCTCATTAAAGATAGGACATTGCGGGAGATGCCTGTCATTTTACTGCAAGCTCTCTGCTAAGCAGTTCAATCCAGAGTACTGTTGCTGTGGTTGCAAAGAAGTGAAATTTGCATTTTTGGGGAATTTTGCTAATAGCAAGTGCTAAGTAGGAGGATCTGCTGCTATTGTCACATGATCAGTCCTGGTGTTGTAATATGGAGCATGGCCAGACTAGGGGGGGGTGCTTGGGTGGTCTATGACCCGCCTGTCCTCTGACCTGCCAGTAGTGACCATGTCCTCTGCCCTGTCAGCAGTGACCCCTGTCCTCTGCCCTACCAGCAGTGACCCTGTCCTCTGCCCTGCCAGTAGTGACCCCTGTCCTCTGCCCTACCAGCAGTGACCCTGTCCTCTGCCCTGTCAGCAGTGACCCCTATCCTCTGCCCTACCAGCAGTGACCCTGTCCTCTGCCCTGCCAGTAGTGACCCCTGTCCTCTGCCCTGCCAGCAGTGACCCCCATCCTCTGCCCCATCAGCAGTGACCCCTGTCCTCTTCCCTGCCAGCAGTGACCCCCAGTCCTCTGCCCTGCCAGCAGTGACCCCCGTCCTCTGCCCCATCATCGGTGACCCCAGTCCTCTGCCCTGCCAACAATGACCCCCATCCTCTTCCCTGCTGACCTCCCATCTTCTGCCCCCCCCCCCCCCCCCCCCCCTGACATGTTTTTGCTGCACCCCCACATCAGACAGTCTAGATCCAGCCCTGAAATGCAACACTCTCAATGGCATCCCTTTTCATATAGGACCTTGCAGGAGATGCTTGTAATTCTACCACAAGCTCTGTGCAGGTTTTAGGGTAAAGCCATGAGCCAATTACAGGAGCAGGGGGATGAGCTCACTGAGCAGTTCTCCCTTTTTGTTTGGTCAGTTTGCTAGAAATGAGTGCTGGGTAGGTGGGTCTGCTGCTGCCATCACATGATCAGTCCCAGTGTTGTAATGGGGAACCTTCTCACCGGCCTCCCTTTTCGACCCTCAGCCCTTTTCCGCAGATAGGGAGAGCGGAAGATGCCTGTAATTCTACCACAAGCTCTGTGCATTTTGGACAAAGCCATGAGCCAATTACAGGAGCAAGGGGATGAGCCAACTGAGTACTGTTGCTGTGGTTGCAAGGAGATCAAAATTTGCATTTTGGGGCAGTTTGCTAGCAAGTCCTAAGTGCAGATCCTGAGGTCTGTTGCATCACTTGATCAGTCCCAGTGTTGTACTATGGAACACTCCCACCGGCATCTCATGTAGACACTCACTAAAGCTAGGACACAGCAGGAGATACCTGTAATTCTACCACAAGCTCTGTGCCTGCTTTTGCCATCGGTCAATTACAAGAGCAGGGGGATGAGCATGCTGAGCAGTTCTATCCAAACAAACTCCACATAACAGAGAAGAAAGATCCCTGACCAAGTTTAGGAATGCAGACCCCCCCCCCCCCCCCCCCCCCACCCCCCCACCAGCCACAATTTACTTCTGTGAAACAGCTCCACCACATGGTGCAAGCATGAACTGCACCCAATCACCTTTTTTCCCACTCATCTTCAGTGGTCAGAAATACGAAACTGTCTGAGCTGCTGAGTTGAGTGCAAAAATACCCCATTCTTGTTCCCGGGAAACACTTACACACAACAGTGAGGTTGAAGGAGCTGTTGCTGTGTCCATACTGATTTTCGGCCAGACACCAATACTCCCCGTCATGCTCGTGGGTGACCGACGGGATCTCCAGGACCAGCTCGTTCTCAAAGATGGCAGAGTTGAGGATTTGCTTATCTTTGACAATGGAGAGGATGGGGTCGGGGTTCCCCTGGGTGTTGCAGAATATGGTGACCGTCTCGCCTTCAATTGCGACCAGCGAAGCGTTCACTGAAGGTTTCCATGGGGCATCTGGAAAAGAACATGTTTGGGTTATTCTGGTTATTGGGTGTCCATTGCAGACGATGAAGAGGCCTGAGCAAACGAAATTCAGATATTTCTGCTGTCCTGGTCACCGTTAGATAGACACTGGAGGAATATATTACTATGAAGCCCAACATCTTCCCAACTGCTTGTCAGAAATCATGGTTACCTAGTGGATGAAATGTGTTATGCATCTCTGCAGGATGTTTATGCGGACATAATGCTGCAAATAAAGGTCATCCTAAAATTCCAACAAGGATGGTTGCCGGACAAATTTAATGAATCCAAAGCCAAACTGCAATTTTTTTTTTGTAAGTTGGACTTCCAAACCGCTCAGGTTGTTTCTGCCTTATAACTGCTATTGCCATGGCCTGAGCATCATTAGCTCGACTGCCAGTGCCACCACATCCCACCCTTCTATCTTCGTATCCCTGGTAGAATCTGGAGCTGCTGTTGGTTTTTCTGACTTCCTCAGAATGCATTCTAACTTTTCAATTTTTTTGGGCCCCATGATCCCATAAGGTATGGCCTGACAGGTGCTCCCCAAACCATTCTGCACAAGTTTGTATTATTTGCTGCTCTTCAATGCATACTTTATGGACCATTCAATGGGAGTTCAATGGGACTGTTGGATGAGATTCCAAATTATGGACGTTCCTGTTTTTAACCAATAACAACCAATGAAACTTGTGAGAAGGTGACTTGTCTCTGGTTGCCAACATGGAACACTTTTTAAAATGGTCCTTACTCATATTTGAACTGTTAAGAGTAAACATTCTGCCTAACAGCAGATACCACAACTACATAAGAGTAGATATCACAACTACCTAACAGTAGATACCACAACTACATAAGAGCAGATATCACAACTATCTAAGATCAGATATCACAACTACCTAAGAGCAGATACCACAACTACATAAGAGCAGATATCACAACTATCTAAGAGTAGATACCACAACTACCTAAGAGCAGATACCACAACTACCTAAGAGCAGATACCACAACTACATAAGAGTAGATATCACAACTATCTAAGATCAGATATCACAACTACCTAAGAGTAGATATCACAACTACCTAAGAGCAGATACCACAACTATCTAAGATCAGATATCACAACTACCTAAGAGTAGATACCACAACTACCTAAGAGTAGATACCACAACTATCTAAGATCAGATATCACAACTACCTAAGAGCAGATACCACAACTACATAAGAGCAGATATCACAACTATCTAAGAGCAGATATCACAACTACCTAAGAGCAGATACCACAACTACATAAGAGCAGATATCACAACTACCTAAGAGCAGATACCACAACTACATAAGAGTAGATATCACAACTATCTAAGAGTAGATATCACAACTACCTAAGAGTAGATATCACAACTACCTAAGAGCAGATACACAACTATCTAAGATCAGATATCACAACTACCTAAGAGTAGATATCACAACTACCTAAGAGCAGATATCACAACTACCTAAGAGTAGATATCACAACTATCTAAGAGTAGATATCACAACTACCTAAGAGCAGATATATCACAACTACCTAAGAGTAGATATCACAACTATCTAAGAGCAGATATCACAACTATCTAAGAGCAGATATCACAACTATCTAAGAGTAGATATCACAACTACCTAAGAGCAGATACCACAACTATCTAAGAGTAGATATCACAACTATCTAAGAGCAGATATCACAACTACCTAAGAGCAGATATCACAACTAACTACCTAGAGCAGATATCACAACTATCTAAGAGTAGATACCACAACTATCTAAGAGTAGATATCACAACTACCTAAGAGCAGATACCACAACTATCTAAGAGTAGATACCACAACTATCTAAGAGTAGATACCACAACTATCTAAGATCAGATACCACAACTATCTAAGATCAGATATCACAACTACCTAAGAGTAGATACCACAACTACCTAAGAGTAGATACCACAACTATCTAAGAGTAGATACCACAACTATCTAAGAGTAGATATCACAACTACCTAAGAGCAGATACCACAACTATCTAAGAGTAGATACCACAACTATCTAAGAGTAGATACCACAACTACCTAAGAGTAGATATCACAACTACCTAAGAGCAGATACCACAACTATCTAAGAGTAGATACCACAACTATCTAAGAGTAGATACCACAACTATCTAAGAGCAATAGATATCACAACTATCTAAGAGTAGATACCACAACTATCTTAAGAGTAGATACCACAACTATCTAAGAGTAGATACCACAAATATCTTAAGAGTAGATACCACAACTATCTAAGAGCAGATATCACAACTATCTTAAGAGTAGATACCACAACTAAGAGTAGATATCACAACTAAAGAGTAGATACCACAAATATCTTAAGAGTAGATACCACAACTATCTAAGAGCAGATATCACAACTATCTAAGAGCAGATATCACAACTATCTTAAGAGTAGATACCACAACTATCTAAGAGTAGATATCACAACTATCTAAGAGCAGATACCACAACTATCTAAGAGCAGATATCACAACTATCTTAAGAGTAGATACCACAACTATCTAAGAGTAGATATCACAACTATCTAAGAGCAGATATCACAACTATCTAAGAGCAGATATCACAACTATCTAAGAGCAGATATCACAACTATCTTAAGAGTAGATACCACAACTATCTAAGAGTAGATATCACAACTATCTAAGAGCAGATATCACAACTATCTAAGAGCAGATATCACAACTATCTAAGAGCAGATATCACAACTATCTAAGAGCAGATATCACAACTATCTAAGAGTAGATACCACAACTATCTAAGAGTAGATACCACAAACTATCTAAGAGTAGATATCACAACTATCTAAGAACAGATATCACAACTATCTAAGAGCAGATATCACAACTATCTTAAGAGTAGATACCACAACTATCTAAGAGTAGATACCACAACTATCTAAGAGTAGATATCACAACTATCTAAGAGCAGATATCACAACTATCTAAGAGTATATACTACAACTACCTAAGAGCAGATACCTCAGACCATCTGAGATCAAATACCCCAACTACCTAAGAGTAGACACCACAACTACCTAAGAGTAGATATTACAACCGCCTAAGAGTGGACACCACAAGTACCTAAGTGTAGATACCATGACTATCTAAGACCAAATATCACAACATCTTAAGAGCAGATACCACAACTACCTAAGTGTAGATACCACAGCTAACAAAGAACAGATGCCACAACTACCTAAGATCAGATATCACAACTTCCTAATAGTAGATACCACAACTACCTAAGAACAGAGATTACAACCACTTAAGAGTGGATACCACAAGCACCTAGGAGTAGATACCACAACTGCCTAACAGAAGATACCACAACTACCTAAGATCAGATGCCATTGCTGCCTAAGTGCAGATACCAAAGTCTTAAGACCAGATCAACCCATTCCAGAAATCAAAATCCTTTTCTTTCTGCAATCCCCCTGCATAGCGTAGGAGTTATACAATTTCAGACACACAGATCTTCGTTGTATACTCACACATGACGGCCAGCCCCATGGACTTGTTGATCCTCCCATAGTCGTTCTCTGCAGTGCACAGGTACACGCCATCGTGGTTGTAGGTTACATACTCCAGCTCTAGGGTGAGATTTCCTGTGAAGTCTTCTTTTAAGATCACGTCGTCCTTCAGCCACATGACACGTGACATGGGGTTACTATCAACGATGCAGACAAACATCATTTGCGTGCCTTCTGTGGTTTCCGTGGAAGAGTTTATATCCACGATGCGCGGGGCGTCTGTAACAGATGGAAATGATCATATCTCATGTTATATTGAGGAAACCAGAAACATGCTGAAAGATCAGCTCTAAATAAATCTTGGATAGCGCGGGGATGGGTTACTATTTATTTTATGTTTTATTTGCCATCTGTGATCCCACTGTGGAGGTTTTTTCCTCACTTCCTCTCTCAAAGACACTATGGGGGTCTGTTATTAAATATCTGTTGCACAAATGTCAGAAGTTGAACGAACGAACGTTTTCTGTATTCTTTCTGATCGATTCATTCCTGTATCGTCAGTGGCATCTAGTGGCCAAAATGCAGTATACTTTCTCATTGAAGTATTTTTTTTTAAAAAAAACTGTACCACATTTTGGCCACTAGATGGTGGTGTCAATAAAGGAATTAATCTATCAGAAAGAATATTGGGACATTTTATTCAGCTTAGGAATATTACTGACTGTCACACAACAAATGTCTTGGGGGGGGTCACAACGACATAAAGATACAAACAGCTACGAAAACCTGATAGAGGTTCTAACCTTTCCTGACTAAAAGGTATTTTTTTGTTGAAGCCTTTGCTTCCTGTCACGTTGACACCATAGAAAATAAAGGGAAAGGGGGTCACTGGTACAGGAAGAAAGGCAGCAATAAAAATCTGGCACGTGTTCTAATTCTTTTCAACTGTATTCAAAAATATGGTTTTGTTGCAGTCTGTGATCATTGCTTTTTCTTCTTTAAGCAATCTTAAAGGACACCTAAAGTGCTACTAAACCCTGGACCCCGCATTCACTATATTCGCTCTCCACGGACCCTGCAATCACTATATCTGGTCTCCCTGGACCCCGCATTCTCTATATCTGGTCTCCCCCGGACCCTGCATTCACTATATCTGGTCTCCCCGGACCCTGCATTCACTATATCCGCTCTCCCAGGACCATGCATTCACTATATCTGGTCTCCCCGGACCCTACATTCACTATATCCGGTCTCCCAGGACCCTGCATTCACTATATCCAGTCTCCCCAGACCCTGCATTCACTATATCTGGTCTCCCCGGACCCTGCATTCACTATATCCACTCTCCCCGGACCCTGCATTCACTATATCTGGTCTCCCCGGACCCAGCATTCACTATATCTGGTCTCCCGGACCCTGCATTCACTATATCTGGTCTCCCCGGACCCTGCATTCACTATATCCGCTCTCCCAGGACCGTGCATTCACTATATCTGGTCTCCCCGGACCCTACATTCACTATATCCGGTCTCCCAGGACCCTGCATTCACTATATCCAGTCTCCCCGGACCCTGCATTCACTATATCTGGTCTCCCCGGACCCTGCATTCACTATATCCACTCTCCCCGGGACCCTGCATTCACTATATCTGGTCTCCCCGGACCCCGCATTCACTATATCTGGTCTCCCCGGACCCAGTATTCACTATATCTGGTCTCCCCGGACCCTGCATTCACTATATCTGGTCTCCCCGGACCCAGCATTCACTATATCTGGTCTCCCCGGACCCCGCATTCACTATATCCACTCTCCCCGGACCGCGCATTCACTATATCTGGTCTCCCCGGACCCTGCATTCACTATATCTGGTCTCCCCGGACCCCGCATTCACTATATCTGGTCTCCCCGGACCCTGCATTCACTATATCTGGTCTCCCCGGACCCTACATTCACTATATCCGGTCTCCCCAGGACCCTGCATTCACTATATCCAGTCTCCCCTGACCCTGCATTCACTATATCTGGTCTCCCCGGACCCTGCATTCACTATATCCAGTCTCCCCTGACCCTGCATTCACTATATCCGCTCTCCCGGACCCCGCATTCACTATATCTGGTCTCCCCGGACCCTGCATTCACTATATCTGGTCTCCCCGGACCCTGCATTCACTATATCTGGTCTCCCCGGACCCTGCATTCACTATATCTGGTCTCCCCGGACCCTGCATTCACTATATCCGCTCTCCCCGGACCCTGCATTCACTATATCAGCTCTCCCTGGACCCTGAATTCATTATATCCAGTCTCCCCGGACCCTGCATTCACTATATCCGGTCTCCCCCGGACCCTGCATTCACTATATCCGGTCTCCCCGGACCCTGCATTCACTATATTTGATCTCCCACAGTACACAGAACATGGAAATGCAATTATTTTAGAAAATATAAACTGCTAAATACCTTTTCTTATCAGCAGTATATAGCAATCTTGTGACTTTTATCAAAGTCCAGCCGAGCACTGGGTAAAGCTTGCAGGAGGAGTTCTCATTTTTCTCTAGGAGGATGCAGAACCCCACTGTCTGGCCAATGCTGACTGACCCTGTGCTGTTCACATGCACTGCCCCAAGAGAAAAAAAAAAAAAACCTCTCCAGCAATACACACCAAAAACTGAGCATGTACAGCCTGCCCCAGAGCCTCTGTTCTATCGGGAGATAGGAGGGGGGCATTCAAAGAAGGGGAGGATCAGAGAAGACAGGATCAAACAGCCTTTTTACACAATGCAGAGGATTAACCCCTGAGGTTCCACAGTGAGTATAACAAGCATGCTTTACTGCATCTACAGACTGATTGTACTGTTGTGGGTTTAGTAACATATAAGGAATGCTAATATGGTCAGTATCAGAGCATGTCACTTTTAGCATGCCTTAACGGCTCTTCAGCACACCTTAGGGCAGGGGTGTCAAACTGGTGGCCCTTCAGCTGTTGCGAAACTGCAAGTCCCATCATGCCTCTGCTTTTAGGAATCATGCTTGCAACTGTCAATCTTGCAATGCCTCATGGGGACAGCTGGAGGGCCATCAGTTTGACACCCGTGCCTTAGGGTCTACTGTGAAAATATCTCAAGCATCCACACAGCAAGCACAAACAATCCCCATAATGTGTCTAATATGTGTATTTCCTATGATCGTCAGCTCCATCTAGTGGCCATAAATGTGGTATTTTTCTGATTGTGGTGTTCTAGGAAACTACCGCATTACGGCCACTAGATGGAGCTGATGATTATAGAAAAAATACATATTCTATCTATCCATTTAGTCATATCTGACCCTTGGCGATTGCATGGACCGTCACTCGTAAGTGACTATTTCCATGAATTCTCTTAGCAATTATTTTTACAGGGTAGGTTTGCCAGGTCTTTCCCCAACCCCCACCATGTAGGAGATCCCTCATAGCCAGGGATGAAACTAGGACAATTTAGACAGGAGCCAATAACCTACCAGCATGTCTTTGGAGTGTGGGGGGAACAGGAAACAGGAGCACCCATGCAAGCACAGGGAGAACATGCAAACTCCATGCAGGAGGCACCATGGTAGGGAATCAAACCCATGACCCATTTACTGCAAGGCAGACGTGCTAACCACTAAGCCACTGTTCCACCCATTAGACATATTACAGGGATCGTGGTGGCATTCACAAAGCATATGTTTTCATAAATAGACCCCTTAAAGCTCACTTAAGGCATGCTAACATAGCCTCCCAGTCAATGTCACGTTATTTATTAGCATGCCCAAAGTGCTTCTTTTCAGTTCTTTTTGCAGCATGACAAATCAAGGACCGCAGAAAACCTTTGTGACTCACATTTTACATCCATGGTCACGGTCCCCTTATACTCCAGTTCTGTGCCCGGATAGGTGACTCTACAGCTGAGCCGCTGCCCGTTGTTCTTGTGGGTGGGCAGGAATTTCAGGGTGGAAATCTGCTTCCAAGACAGATTGTTCTCCTCCAGGCGGGCGAACACCATGTGATGCTCCAGCCCCTCGATGTCCATCCAAGTCACCGTGGGCTTCATGTCGGGGCAGTTATCGTCCACCAAGCATGTGATCTCCGTCTCGGAGCCCGAGATGATATCCTGCGGCTGGACCACAAAGGGCTCGTCTGGAAGCAGAATGTACAGCAAGGTGTGAAAAGGATGAGGAACATCAATCATACATCGCTTGGGTGACCCATTGAGTTCATAACTACCATACAGGTGCTCTTTAACCAATAGACAACTGCAATCCATAGATCCTCCAGCAGAGAGAACATCACTTTATTCTGCAGTAGCGAACTAGAAGCGCACGCCTGTGCACACTCCCAGTTCTGAGACCTCCTTCCACTGACAGCAGCAGGTCTCAGACTAACTGGGAACAGGGGCGGACTGACCATTTGGAAACTCGGGCACTGCCTGAGGGCCCGGGGTCAGTATGGGGCCCCATGAGATGCCCCTGGTATCTTTTTCATAGGCTTTTTTGAGTTTGGGTGAGGACACAGGGGCCACATGATCCCCTATTGCCCGGGGGCCCCATGAGTTGTCAGTCCGCCCCTGACTGGGAACCAATCAATGTGGTTCCTGGTTACCTACCGATAGCCAATCATGCCAAATGCAAGCTGAAGACATTCCTTTTACAAGCCAGCCTCTCAAGCCTGCAGATGGCATTGTGCCTACAGGCGTACCTCGGTTTACGAATTTAATTCGTTCTGCGGGACTGTTCGTATTGTGAAAAATTCGTAAACCGAAACGCGGTTACCGATAGGAATGCATTGAAAACCAATTAATCCATTATGGGGGTAAAAAAAAAATTTTAAAAAAAATATTTTATCTGTTCAAAACTCTTTATAAAGTGCACTTTAAAGGTATAAATACTGTACAGGGACATGATTAAAAATTAATTTGTAAATGCATTGAAAATCAATTAATCCAGAGGTCAGAAAATCCAAAAACAAGTCAAAAAAGGTCTTATCTGTTCAAAACTCTTAATAAAGTGCACTTTAAAGGCATAAATACTGCACAGGGACATGATTAAAAAAAATTTTTTAATGCATTGAAAACCAATTAAACCATTTCGGAGGTCAGAAAATCAGAAAAAAAGTCAAAAAACATCTTATCTGTTCAAAACTCTTTATAAAGTGCACTTTAAAGGCATAAATACTGTACAGGGACATGTTTAAAAATTAATTTGTAAATGCAATGAAAACCAATTAATCCATTCTGGAGGTCAGAAAAAAGTAAAAAAAAAAAAAGTCTTATCTGTTCAAAATTATAAAGTTCACTTTAAAGGCATAAATACTGTACAGGGACATGATAAAAAAAATTGTAAATGCACTGAAAACCAATTAATCCGTTCCGGAGGTCAGAAAAAAGTAAAAAAAAAAATAAATAAATAAATATTTTATCTGTTCAAAACTCTGTATAAAGTGCACTTTAAAGGCATAAATACTGTACAGGGACATGATTAAAAATTAATTTGTAAATGCATTAAAAACCAATTAATCCGTTCTGGAGGTCAGAAAAAAGTAAAAAAAAAAGTCTTATCTGTTCAAAACTCTTTATAAAGTTCACTTTAAAGGCATAAATTCTGTACAGGGACATGATTAAAAAAAATTGTAAATGCATTGAAAACCAATTAAGCCAGAGGTCAGAAAATCAGAAAAAAGTAAAAAAAAAAGGTCTTATCTATTCAAAACTCTTAATAAAGTGCACTTTAAAAGCATACATTCTGTACAGGGACATGATTAAAAAAAATTTAATGCATTGAAAACCAATTAATCCATTTCAGAGGTCAGAAAATCAGAAAAAAAGTCAAAAAAGGTCTTATGTTTAAAACTCTTTATAAAGTGCACTTTAAAGGCATAAATACTGTACAGGGACATGATTAAAAATGAATTCATAAAGGCACTGAAAACGAATTAATCCGTTCCAGAGGTCAGAAAAAAGTAAAAAAAATCTTATCTGTTCAAAACTCTTTATAAAGTGCACTTTAAAGGCATAAATACTGTACAGGGACATGATTAAAAAACAATTCATAAACGCATTAAAAACAAATCAATAAGTTCGTATTGCAAAAAAAAATTTGTAAACCAAGGCGTTATTTTCAATGGATTTTCATTCGTAAACTGAAAGTTACATTAACCGAGGCGTTCGTAAACTGAGGTACGATTATAAAGCTGTACACAGGGGTACATGGTGAGGACTGTATCTTCAGCACCACCTAATGGCCAAAATGCAGTATAGCTTTCTGAAAAACCTAAATGAGAAAACTATTCTGTATTTTGGCCATGAGATGGCGCTGACGATCCCGGTATCGATCTCTTACAAGAATTACGGTGACATTTTGTTCAGCTTGCAAGAATGCGTCTGACATTTGTGCAACAAATATTTTGTTAATAGGCCCCGCAGTGTGAAAAAAAAAAATAATAATAATGAAATAAAAAGGCAAGACATTTTATTAAAAAAAATATTATAATATAATATATTATGTGTATAATAACCAAAAATGCATATTTGCATATTTATCCATTTGTCAGCTCATAAAAAAATAAGGGGCAGCCTACTTAATAAAAACAATGTAACAAATAAACGTCTTACATAAAGCTGAGATATAGAAAGAATTACAGTAAAAGACACAAATTAATGTATTATGCGTTACTTTATCATTACATGTTTTTTTTTTGTTTGTTTGGTTTTTTTTTAAATGCTAGCATGTTAAGTACCTAGATTTGACTTCAGACTCTTACAGTCCCTGCACAGCAGAGCTCATACTGAAGAAGCAGCATCACAAAGAGCCAATAAGCTGTGCTGCAGTGCTCATAGGCTAACATGGGACATGCTGATAGGATGAGAGAACAGAGTGGCAGAGATTAGCTCATCAGCTTGCTGCTTTTCCTTTCACTGTCAAGTCACAGGCTGGGGAAGAGATAAGACCTGTAATTGTTAGGACTCTTTTAGGCATGCAGACAGGGGCAGTAAAAGCAGGCGGATGAGTCACAGTTTTACCTCGAACTGACCACCCTCCTAAACAAAGACATGCAGCTGCTCAGGGCTGTACACATTGAATTTTTGCCAAGGCAAAAATTCAACCTTCTGTCGCATTCAGTGGACCCTGCATTCACTATATCCGCTATCCCCGGACCCTGCATTCACTATATCCGGTCTCTCCCCGGACCCTGCATTCACTATATCCGCTCTCCCCGGACCCTGCATTCACTATATCCGCTCTCCCCGGACCCTGCATTCACTATATCCGCTCTCCCCGGACCCTGCATTCACTATATCTGCTCTCCCCCGGACTCTGTATTCACTATATCTGGTCTCTTTGGACCCTGCATTCACTATATCAGGTCTCCCTGGACCCCGCATTCACTATATCTGCTCTCCCCGGACCCCGCATTCACTATATCTGGTCTCCCCGGACCCTGCATTCACTATATCTGGTCTCCCTGGATCCTGCATTCACTATATCTGGTCTCCCCTGGACCCTGCATTCACTATATCTGCTCTCCCAGGACCTCGCATTCACTATATTTGGTCTCCCCGGACCCTGCATTCACTATATACTCTCTCCCTGGACCCTGCATTCACTATATACTCTCTCCCCTGGACCCTGCATTCACTATATCTGCTCTCCCCGGACCCTGCATTCACTATATCTGCTCTCCCCGGACCCTGCATTCACTATATCTGGTCTCCCACAGTACACAGAACATGGAAAAGCAATTATTTTAGTAAATATAAACTGCTAAATACCTTTTCTCATCAGCAGTATATAGCAGTCTTGTGACTTCTATCAGTGTCCAGCAGAGCTCTGGTTAAAGCTTGTAGGAGGAGTTTTCATTCTCCCCTGATTGTCCTATGAGGCTGTATGACCCCTGACCCTCTGTCTGGACAGTGCTGATTGGCCCTGTGCTGATCACATGCACTCTCCCAAGTAAAAAAAACTCTCTAGCAATACAGACCAAACTGAGCATGTGCAGCGTGCCTCCAAGGCTCTGTTCTGTCAGCAGATGGATTAGGGACTGTGGAAGAAGGGAAGGATCAGAGAAGACAGGATCAAACAGCCTTTTTACACAATGCAGAGGATTAACCCCTTAGGTTCCACAGTGAGTATAACAAGCATGCTTTACTGCAACCAATGTATACTGATGATGCTAAATTTGGTTGTGACCTCCATGCTTCAACATCCTCTGGCAATGAAAGAGTAAACCACAGGAAGCAGAGCCACTTACCTAGGATGTAGAGGTTGGCATGCTCGGAGTAGGTGTACTGGTTATACCCCCCCAGGTCCGCTCGGAAGTAGTACTTTCCCTGCAGCTCACTGCTGACCCGGTCAATCTGTACGGAGCAGTTGGACTCCTGGAGATCCCCGATCATTTTGGTCCGTCCCATGTAGATCTCGTGTGCCGTGTTGGTCTTGGTTTTGAAGACCACGGGAGGGAAGTTTTTAGGGTACGGACTGTTGAAGTACCAGATACCGTGGATTATCGATGGTCGGATGTCTTCTGGATAGTTGAAGCTACATGGGATGGCTACGCAAGTGTCTTTAAAAGCAGAAATGGACGTTGGCATCCAAGCCGCCCAATGTCTACTCAACGCACCTAGAAGAGAGGTCACCGTACAGTTTAAAGAGTCGCATTTACAAGCGGTTTATATTTTGGTTCCCTGTTTCCTCTCTCACCCCTTCAGCAATGTTTTTAAATGAAACCTTTTTTCATTTTCAGTACATTTTAGCCCGAGCGATGTATTCACTGGGTCTTTGTGCTTCTCTATGCAATGCAAACAGATCATGGCTGGTGGGAGGGGGAGGTGGGGTGCTGTATATACCTTCAGAAAACATCACAGTGCCCTGTCTCAGTACTCCTGTCCAGAACCCTCAGTCCTGACAAAGCCTGGCTCTTGAAAGGGGTTATGCAACTATCAAAATGCCTTGATTGGTAGATATCAGTCTGGAGGAGTGGGCATCCCTGCAAGCTGGATTTGCATGCATATCGCGCTAGGCTAGGGGTAGGCAACCTGAGAGCCGCAGGACTACAAGTTCCATCATGCCTCTGTAAGTCATAGCTGTAACTGTCAGTTCTAGGCAATGCTCACATGATGCTGAGCCTCCATGATTGAAAGAACTGAAATCCAATGAATGAAAGGGGCGGGCCAGGGACAGTCAGGCTGGAGAGGAAAGAGCTAGATTAGTGGTCTCCAAACTGTGGCCCTTTGCTTGCTTTTACCCAGCCCCTGGGGTGCTATTCCTCCCAATCATACAAGGCACTATTCTGCCAACTGACACCAATGATGGGGCACCATTCCTCCCACTGATACCAATGATGGGGCACTATTCCTCCCACTGATACCAATGATGGGACACTATTCCCCCCACTGACACCAATGATGGGGCACTATTCCTCCCACTGACACCAATGATGGGGCACTATTCCTCCCACTGACACCAATGATGGGGCACTATTCCTCCCACTGACACCAATGATGGGGCACTATTCCCCCCACTGACACCAATGATGGGGCACTATTCCTCCCACTGACACCAATGATGGGGCACTATTTCTCCCACTGACACCAATGATGGGGCACTATTCCTCCCACTGATACCAATGATGGGGCACTATTCCTCCCACTGACACCAATGATGGGGGGCTCTATTCCTCCCACTGACACCAATGATGGGGCACTATTCCTCCCACTGACACCAACGATGGGGCACTATATATTCCTACCAATGATACCAGCAATGAAACACCATTCCTCCCACTGACACCAATAACGGGGCACTATTACTGCCAATGATACCAACGATAGGGCACTATTCCTGCCAATGATACCAATGATGAGGCACTATTTCTGCCAACTGACACCAACAATGAGGCACCATTCCTCCCACTGGCACCAATAACGGGGCACTATTCCTGCCAATGATACCAACGATGGGGCACTATTCCTCCCACTGACACCAATAACAGGGCACTATTCCTGCTAATGAGACCAATGATGGGGCACTATTCCTCCCACTAATACCAATAACGGGGCACCATTCCTGCCAACTGACACCAACAATGAGGCACCATTCCTCCCAGTGACACCAATACCGGGGCACTATTCCTGCCAATGATACCAATGATGGGGCACCATTCCTCCCCTAAAAAAAATTGTTAAGTTTACTCCTACTGATACCAGAAATAAATTCCACACCCGTTGGTCACAGTCTGACCCCTCTAAAGTCTCAAGGACTATAAACTGGCCGTTTGTTTCAAAGGTTTGGAGACCCCTGAGCTAGATGATGCTGGACATCCTCCATCCAGGAATTGAGGCGGAGCTCTATCTGATGCTGCAGTTTCTAATGCACATTGTGAGAAGCTCACAGTGTGCAGTGAAATCAGAGGAAGCCATTTCAGCCCAGGAGAGGAGTCGGTACAACTCTGCAAGACTGAAGGGGAGGAGCCGGTACAACTCTGCAAGACTGAAGGGGAAGGCTGGAGGTCAGATTTAAAAAAAAAAAACAACACCAACAAGCATACAATCTCTTTCTGAATGGGATTTGTGTTGTGTTCAGTTGCAGAATGTTTTTTACCTTCTATTAGTATGAAGAGTAAAGGTAATGATTTCCACCACCATTCCATCTTCCCCTGGAAGTACAAATTTCTTCACTGGAATAAAACACATAAGAAAAAAATAAGAACACGGGACAAGGGAGAGACGCAGGCTCAGTTCACATAGCTTTAGACAAGAAGAATCTTTACTTTGACATGTGACTGTCATTTTCAAACCTCATTGGACTCAGATTAAAATAACTGTCACTTTTTTAAAATCCTGTCCTTGTCTGTTAGCTTTGTGATCTGAGTTTATAACCATGATAAAGGTCAGGGAAGGAAAGGAAAAGGAAAGGGAAAGGAAAAGGAAAAGGAAAAGGAAAAGGAAAGGAAAGGGGAAAGGAAAAGGAAAAGGAAAAGGAAAGGAAAGAAAAGGAAAAGGAAAAAAAGGAAAAGGAAAGGAAAGGAAAAGGAAAGGAAAGGAAAGGAAAGAAAAGGAAAGGAATGGAAAGGAAACAAAAAGAAAAGGAAGGGAAGGAAAGGAAAGGAAAAGGAAGGGAAAGAAAGAAAAAGTAAAGGGAAATGTGAAGGAAAGGAAAAGAAAGGGAAGGGAAAAAAGGAAAGGAAAAGGAAGGAAAGGGTAAGGAGAAGAAAGCAAAGGAAAAGGAAATGGGAAAGAAAGGAGAGAAGGGAAAGAAAGGAAAGGAAAAAGAAATGGGAAGGAAAGGAGAAGGGAAAGAAAGAAAAGGAAAGGAAAGGAAAGGAAAAGGAAAGGAAAGGGGAAAGGGAATGTTTCTCTCCTCTTGCTGCACGGTACATAATGTCATAATATGATATATTCAGCAGTAAGTTTTAACCTCCTGGGATACCCACATCACCTCTAGGAGGTTGCATTTCCGCACGGTATAGAAAAGGAAAGAAAAAAGGAAAGGGGAAAGGAGAGGAGATGAGAGGGGAAGAGAAAATAAGTGGACAGGAAAAAGGAAAGGAAAGAAGAAAGGAAAGAAGAAAGGAAAGGAAAGGAGAGGAAAGGAGAGGAGAGGGGGGAAAGAAAGAAAAGGAAAAAGGAAAGGGAAAGGAGAGGAGAAAGGAGAGGAGTTGAGATGAGAGGGGAAAAGAAAGGAAAGGAAAGTGAAAGTGAAAGGAAAAAGGAAAGAGGAGAGGAGAAAAGAAAGGGAAGGGAAGGGAAAGGAAAGGAAAGGAAAGGGGAAAAGAAAGGAAAGGAAGAAGTGAGATCTCCTGTACTAGCTGTGCAGTCATGTTTCTCTCCTCCTGCTGCACTGTACATAATGTCATAACATGATATATTCAACAGTAAGTTCCACCTCCTGGGATACCCACATCACCTCTATCAGGAGGCTACATTTCCGCTTAGAATGGAAATCTTGTTCCATGTAAAATGAATATTATGGCCCCCGATCTCCATCTGGCATATATAAGATCCGGAGCTGCATCCTTAGGGGAGGCTGTAGGAACCGGAAGAATTATCCAGCTACTGATGTAAAATGGAAAGGTGGCGGCACCGGACCGGGCGGAATATAAAATGGGCAACGCAAGACTCGCCGGGCTGGTAAGTATGTCTATTCAGTATTAAACAATAAAAACAAGTAAAGGGGAATTGAACAAGATTTTACATGGGGGTGCAAGGTTACCCCCCCAAAAAAAAACTCCCCACCCCCACCTGTGCGCACTCTCTTCGCAGCGATATTCCTCTGTAACAAAGCAAAAGAATGTTTGGTGTTTGCAGATTGCTCATGTGTGATCACAACACACTGACAGCTCTGTGATGTCTGTGGGAGGAAAGTAAAAATCTATTAAACATGAATTAATCGACTCAAACATCCTGAGCAGAAGACAGTTCCTGGAGTGGAAAGTCTAGATAGGAGTCATTCAGGCATATGTCTTGCCTCGGTGTGTGGGGGGGAAGGGATACTTCAAACTTCCCGGTGATGTAGAAAACAGAAATCTGTTTTTAAGGTGGCCATATACTATACGATCTGATTGTACAATCTCCTTTAGATCCACCATCAAGTACTGTATGTACTGCAATGGCCTGCCTGATTGATACAAGTCGAATGCATTGTTCAGGTGTGTCCTCCTTTTACATAGTTGGGGTAAATCTAATAGATTGTACAATCAGATGGTACAGTCAGTGTATGGACAGCCTTAGTAAGGTGTAGTTATATGTACAATACCAATTTACAACTCCATCTTTCAACACCAAAGCGCCAGCAATGGATATGACTGATACTTGGGGGACCTCGCCGCTTCCACCATTAATGCTCCTCAAACATTCATAGCCAGGACCAGGCCAAGGGATAGGCAGAAGAGGAAATTTGGTATTAGGATTGAAGCCAGATATATGTGGTAGCAAGGTGGTGGGATTTAGGCCACATATATGTGGCAGCACGGTGGTGAGATTTAAGACACATATATGTGGCAGCACGGTGGTGAGATTTAAGACACATATATGTGGCAGCACGGTGGTGAGATTTAGGCCACATATATGTGGCAGCACGGTGGTGAGATTTAGGCCACATATATGTGGCAGCACGGTGGTGAGATTTAGGCCACATATATGTGGCAGCACGGTGGTGAGATTTAAGCCACATATATGTGGCAGCACGGTGGTGAGATTTAAGGCACATATATGTGGCAGCACGGTGGTGGGATTTAGGCCACATATATGTGGCAGCACGGTGGTGGGATTTAAGGCCACATATATGTGGCAGCACGGTGGTGAGATTTAAGACACATATATGTGGCAGCACGGTGGTGGGATTTAAGACACATATATGTGGCAGCACGGTGGTGGGATTTAAGACACATATATGGCAGCACGGTGGCAGCACGGTGGTGGGATTTAAGACACATATATGTGGCAGCACGGTGGTGGGATTTAAGACACATATATGTGGCAGCACGGTGGTGGGATTTAAGACACATATATGTGGCAGCACGGTGGTGGGATTTAAGACACATATATGTGGCAGCACGGTGGTGGGATTTAAGACACATATATGTGGCAGCACGGTGGTGGGATTTAAGACACATATATGTGGCAGCACGGTGGTGGGATTTAAGACACATATATCTAGCAGCACGGTGGTGAGATTTAAGACACATATATGTGGCAGCACGGTGGTGGTGATTTAAGCAACATATATATGTAGTAGCATGACGGTGGGTGTATTTTATGCCACATATATACAGTAGCACTATGGTGGGATTTAGCTCATATATATGTGGCAGCACGGTGGTGGGATTGAGGTCACATATATGCGGCTGCACCTTGGTGAGATTGAGGTCACATATATGCGGTAGCATGTGGTGGGATTTAGGGCCACATATATGTGGTGATCAGGGGTGGACTGACCATTTGAGCACTCGGGCACTTCCCGAGGGCCCAGGGTCATTAGGGGGCCCCATTAAATTCCCCCAGTACCTTTTATAGTCTTTTTTTGGATGTGCTTTGAGTTCGGGCAAGGACACAGGGGCCCCATGATCCCCTATTGCCCGGGGGGCCCCATGAGTTGTCAGTCCGCCCCTGGTGGTGATATTGTGGTGGGATTTAGGGCCACATATATGCGGTAGTATGGTGGTGGGATTTAGGGCCACATATATGCGGCAGCACAGTGATGGGATTTAAACCACATATATGAGATAGCATGGTGGTGGGCTATAGGGCCACATATATGCTGCAGCAAGGTGGTGGAATTTAGGCCACATATACACGCGGTAGCATGACGGTGGGTGGGATTTAAGCCACTATACACAGTAGCACCATGGTGGAATTTAAGCGTCACGTATGTGACAGCATGGTGGTGGGATTGAGGCCACATATATGTGGCAACACGGTGGTGGGATTGAGGCCACATATATGTGGTTGCTCGATGGTGGGATTTAAGACACATACTGTATATTTGGCAGCACAGTGGTGGGAATTAGGTCACATACTGTATATTTGGCAGCACAGTGGTGGGAATTAGGTCACATTTATGCGGCAGCACGGTGGTGGGATTTAAGCCACATATATGTGGTTGCCCGATGGAGGGATTTAAGACACCAACTGTATATGTGGCAGCACAGCAGTGGGCCTTAAGCCACATCCATGCAGCAGTACGGTGGTGGGGATTTAAACCCACATGTATGTACGCCGGCATTGCTGATTTTCACCAACATACTTAACTGGTGTGCTTCCCTGTTAGCGACACTGTATGGAAATTAGCCACACATTTGCCAAATTCATGAGCACAGATTCCGTGGAATTATTTCCAAACGTTGGCGGCGTCTTAAAAGGTGTCACGCTATTTGAAGTCAGAATTGAAAAGGAGGGGGACAGTGAGAGCAGCTGTGCCATCCGGTGCTGGGAAACCGAAGGGACAGAGGAGGCCCGGCTATCTCTGCCGTCCATCTCCTGGAGTCCGGCCAATCGATAAAAGGCACAATGGCGACCGTTGTAATGTAACTTCACAGCAGCCATTGAGCCGAGAGTGACGGCGCACAAGACTTGTTTTGATGGCACTGTGCGGATCAGGCCAACACTTGAGTCACTTCCACTCGCAGGAGGAGCGGTGAGGAGGAGGAGGACCAGGCTGTCATCTGCTCAGCAGAGAAGGTCTCACACTTGTTTTCTTACAGTTTAACACCTTCCGCTCCACTTCGAGGAAATACAAGGTGGAAATTTCTAAAGGTTCTATATAGGAATCTATATAACAATATATAAACGCATCAAATATAGGAATGCATAAAAGAATAATGAAAACAAGAGCAGCCTTTCTCAGCTGAAGTTCCTTCTAAACTTGAGGTTTCCTTGAGCAGTGAGCAATGGTGGGTTGATCTCCCACCTACACCGACCACCAATGCAACGTGGCAATTTTCCATTAACTACCAAGGTTAGGCTACTTTCACATGGCTCTGTATGAAAAGTACATCAAAAATGCAAACGCATTGTTTGCCATGTTTTTCCCACGTTGCGTTAAGTTTAACGCAATGCATTATGTGTTTTCCTGCATTTTGCGTTGGGTTTCCTTCATATCACTTCCCACGATTCTAATGCGATTTTCATGCGATTTCCATTTTCATGCGGC